TACTACTACTACTACTACTACTACTACTACTACTACTACTACTACTACTACTACTACTACTACTACTACTACTACTATTACTATTTCTACTCGTTTCTCGTTTCTCGTTTCGCGCTCTACAGCGCTTCTACCTCCTACCCTGCGCTTTCTCCGCTGACCCGCGCAACCGCGGGCCTGCTCGGTCTGGCCGTGAAGGCGTCGTCGACGTGCGGTGCGATGTGGTCGCTGCCATCGTCGCCACGGAGGGAGGAGGGGCGGGTGCCCACACCCTCGACCACAGGTACAACGCACAGGGAGGCGACCTGGATCCCGAGGCACAGGCACCGAAAGCCCCAAGGACGGGACCCAGGACCCAAACCAGTCAGCCAGGTCGCCAGCCCTCGCCGGACCACATAACGTCGGAAAAAGCCGCCTGGAGTCATATGGGGCCTGTGTGGAAGACATCCGAGGCGACGCGTTTCTCATTGGCCTCTGTGGAGGTCTCGAGGTCACTGGAGTCCAGAGGGCATGTGGGGAAGATCTAATCGGCGACGCTCTTCTCAAAGACCTCTGGGTTCCCGTTGGTCCAGCAGAAACTCTCCTCGGCGAAGCTCTCCTCCTTGGTGCCGCTGTTTCCTCCACCGTCCTTTTGGGTCCGTCGGGCAGTCCCTCGCACCCCGTTCGGGTCAGCAGGTCGGTTCAGAAGCTCATGATCTTTGGGAACGTACCACGGTCGTCGGCGAATCACCCCCTGCTGTCGAATGATGCTTGTGACTCTCTGGCAAATTTGAAATCGGTTCAAGACGATCCGATGGATGTGTAGTCGCGTACGTTATGCGAGGAAAACGTCGAGCTATTCCTGCACCTCCCTCTCCATGTGCGACGCGGGGGCTCGCCCGCTCTTGAGCTCCGCGCCCAGCTGCTGGACGGTCCCCCAGAACCTCGAGGCGGCACCCGTTGATGCAAAGTGTGATCCTGCGATTGCCCTGGTCGTCGCAGCGGTCCAGCTTGGTGAAGCGAGTGATATCCATCTTGTGAGCGTACTCCAGTGTCGTGAGGTGGAAAGGGAAGGGAAAGGAAGGGAAGGGTAGGGGGGTGTCATGCCGCCCCTGACTCTGTGTTGAAGATGGTCGGGCCTCCCCGAGTGCTGTTCTTGCAGGCAGAATTGCAGAAGCTGTGTTGTGTCCTATGCGTTGCTTTATAGTCCAGTTGTTTCCAGTGTTTCAGAATGGCGTGGGCCTCATGTTCGAATCGGCGCTGACCACAGCGCGGGCCACTTTTCTGGATCCGAGCAATGTTTCATCGTTGTCGCCTCGCTCCTTTTCCCCTCCTTCGCCTTCCCCTGGTTTTCCTGCTCCTTCCACTCCTTCCACTCTGCTGTTCGTCCTCACCCCACTCCTTAATCATCATCATCATCCTCCTTCCCCTCCTGCTCATCGTCCTGATGACTCGCCACCTCCTCTTCCTCCTCCTCCTACAATGTACACAACTCCCCCTTATCCGATAGCACATAACACGATAAAGGTCTGGTTTGGAGCTCCAATTCGGCTATGACATGCGTCCGCTGATGTAGAACAGGTCAGCGCAATGGAAAGGGATGTGATGAGAGGTTTGATGACAGATATGGCGCGAGCGTACCTGCTTGCCTATGTCCTCTCTCCTTCCTCCTCTCTCCTCCTCCTCCTCCTCCTCCTCCTCCTCCTCCTCTTCCTCCTCCTCCTCCTCCTCCTCCTCCTCCCGTTCCTCTTCCTCCTCCTCCTTCTCCTCGTCATCCTCCTCCTCATCCTCATCTCTCCGTCCCCCTCCCCCTCCCCCTCCCCATCACCCTCCCCCTCTCCCTCCTCCTCCTCCTCCTCCTCCTCCTCCTGACTCGGCCCCAGGACTTCCCCATCCCCACATGTGGAAACGGTTGCGAAAGGGCTTGTGGTTCTGCGCTATCTGTTACCGTCGTTCTCGGAGAGACGTCCCGCCGAGAACAGAGCACCTTCTCGGTTTTAATGCTGTGTTTTGTGGCATCGTCAGAGATGCAAGTGGTCATATCATGTGCATATAACTTCCAGCGATGTCACTCTAATGTTCGTGTGCAGCACGTGTGGTTGCATGCCCCAGGGCCAACAAGCCATAGGTTTGCGAGAGGCTTGCAATTGACATCTTAGTAGCCCGCACTTGCGATCGAATTGGACGCGAATGCTTCAAAGAAAATAACCTGACCCCGCCAAGGGGCTAGACGAACCCTCACCTCTGTCTGGTTTGCGAGAACAGGTCGGCTAGCACCGGACAAAGCGCCCAGCTCCCCCTCCTCCTCCTCCTCCTCACCCTCCTCCTCCTCGCCCTCCCCACCCTCATCCGCATCCGCTTCCTCATCCGCATCTTCATCACCCTCCACGCCCCCCTCCATGCCGCACCCGCCAGCGAGGGCGACGCCGCCGGCCGGGGCCCACTGGCGCCCTGGCTCGCACCCCGGCTTGAGAAACACCTCGGTGATGTGCCCGAAGGAGCTAAACTCCGCCCGCAGCACCTGCTCCTGCAGGGCCACAATCGGCACGAAGGGATCTGGGCTCTGGGGGGAACAGGGAGCAAGGATCCTCCTCCTCCTCCCCCTCCTCCTTCTCCTCCTCCTCCTCCTCCTCTTCCTCCTCCTCTTCCTCCTCTTCCTCCTCCTCCTCCTCCTCCTCCTCCTCCTCCTCCACCTCCTCCTCCTCCTCCTCCTCCTCCTCCTCCTCCTCCTCCTCCTCCTCCTCCTCCTCCTCCTCCTCCTCCTCCTCCTCCTCCTCCTCTGGGCGAGAACAGGGATCAAGGATCAAGCCCTGTGACCATGGCCCACGAAGGGCAGGAACGCCCTCACTCGTCGAGCTTGGCCGCCGCAGCCCGCGCGGCAAAGGCCAGCTGGTGTTGATTCCACTTTTCCTGGGGGGGTCCTTGATCCTCTTCGTCGTTTCGGCCACCCGGAGCCCACGACGGCCCTCCACGGGCCCTGGGGCCGGCAAAAAAAACGACGCATGATGAGGAACTGGTCGCGAGGAAGAGAGCCTTTTTTTCCCTACCCTAAGCCTGGGGGGACCGTGGGGTAGGCCTACCCGAAGCCAAAAGGCAAGACCTTGGGGCGTAGACCTAAAGAGGCTCGGCCAAAGGAGCGGCTTAGGGGTAAGCCTGGGGGACAGGCCGTGAGTAGGCCTAGGCCAAGCTTGAGGGAAGAGCTTTGGAATAGGCCTAAAGAACGAGGCCGAATGGGAAGGCCTACGTGAAGGTATAAGGGAAGGCCCCTGGGGTGCGCAAGGTAGGCCTACGAGAGGGGCCTTGCGGTAGGCCAAATGGAAAGCCCTACGATACATAACGGACCAATTGTCATGTTCGAACTTTTCGCGGGCAGCTCCCTTGACCTGCATTCCTGCAGGTCCGAAACCCCTCACAGGCGCATGACGAAATTGAAAGAGGTAGTGATGAAGCGTGATGGTGATGGCGAGATGTGTGCTGGTGATGATGAAGTGGATGGTGATGATGATATGATGGTGGTGGTGACGTTTGGCTATTAATCGAGGCAGCCCTGTGACAATGAGGATGGTAGGATGGGTGATACGGATGGCGAGATGGACGATGGTAACAGAAATGCGCCTGCGCAAACAATCTCCACATTGCGCCAAGCTCCCCCATTGAGTCCGCCACAATCATGAGCAGCCCTTCGACTTCCTCCAGGGCAGTCAGCTCCAAGCTTTCTACTGCCCCACGAATGGGGAGCTGGAAACCTTTGTTTGCCATTCAAGCGAATGCGGAAAACTCGATGCTCTATAAGTCTTGGCCATACCACGCTGCATGAGATCCCTCTGGGGGACAGCGTTGGTCAGTCCGGTGTTGTCAGCGATCTATGTGACCGCAGTGCTTTGCGATGGAAGCAACTCGAGGAAAGAAGTCACCGCGTCTCTGACCTTGCGATCGAGTTCGCATTTCTCTTCGGCTGACAAGTATTCCCACCTGCATCAACGACGACTCGTCTGGCATTCCTCTGCATGTTAAAAGAACTGATGCACCTCATCTATTGTCTCAACCAGAAGGTCACGACTCTCTTCGTCCTCTCCTTCCGCCCCCTTACCTGCCCGATCCTGATTTGTCCTGCATGGGACACATCAGCGGGTGACGCAGAATATGTCTCTTTCTCCCTCTGCTCGTCCTCAGTCTCCCCCTGCCCTCGAGCACTAGCTCGCAGTGGGAGACAGCCCCAGCGATATTCCGCATCTCATCAACCCTCTGCTGCAGTTCCGCTGACCGCCGAAGACTGGATGCCGCTCCTCGCTGAGTCTCGTCGTTAGCCGCCCTCGCTGCCACTTCCATGGCCTAGGCGCCCTTTATAGCGGCCTGGGCATGCGCATCAAGCAAAACCGCGGCACCCCTCTCCGTCGCGGCTTCTGCAATGGCAGTAACAGACATCGTCTTTTCGCTGTTCAGCCCCACCTGTAGATCGCCGGATTTGTTGCCCATCGCGAGCAATGCTCGCATCAAGCGGGGCGCTCCGTTCTGCCAGGCGCCCATTTGGTCCCCCCTGGGCCGGGCGGACCCCAGCGCATCGCGCGCGGCCTCGCTGTCCTTCGCAGCGCGCGCCAGAAACAGATCCAAAGATAATCAACCCACGAATGCGTTAGCGCCCCCCCGATCACCGCCTGCCTGCCGAAGCTCGGAGCGCAGGTTATTTAGCTCGCCATCCAGCTCTCGATCGTCATCATAGCTCCGACGGCGTTCTCTTTTATGTTGATCAGTGCCAGGCGCTCACTGGGCAGCTAACGGAGGTCGGCCGATTCTTCATAGACCGCCATGAACGCGTGCCCCGCGATGGCCACAGGGATCAGCCCTCAGTGATTGTTATAAAACACGTTCGAAATACGCGGGCCCCCCAATGCGGCAAGGAAAAACGGGATTCGCGGGAGCGTCTTCCGCGGGAGCTTCGGCCCCACTGCGGCGCGCGGGGGGAAAGGGCATTCAGCCCCCGCTCTCCGTCCGATCACTCCACCAGCGGTCCTCGTCGCGTTCAGTCGGCGTTTGGCAGGCGCGCCCCTCCCCCCCCCCTAGCAATTGATCTGGGGCTCTCCTGGCACCCGTCGCGCAATGCCCCGTCGATGGGATGCATGCCCGGGGCCCCATGACTGAAATCCTTGCTACGCGGCGGCCCCTTGCCCGCCGCATCACGGCATGCCTTCCGAACCCCCGGCCTGGCTTTGACAAGATCTCGCCCCCCGTATTCGAATGCTTTGCCGACGTCCACTTCTGTCTACGCATCCGCGAGTTCAGCTGCGCTCAAGAGCTCGCTCTAAACCTGCGAGGCACTTCGAACAGCTATCCTCGGAGCTACGACCGCACCATTGCCGCATCGGCGCGTCCCCTTCTTCGCGGGCGCCCTGCAACCCTGTCGCGCGAATGCCGAACTCTCGCGCCTTCGCGCGCATCACCGCGGCGACACGACAGAAGTAGGCGTCGAAAAATAACCCGACGCAGACAGCTTAATCGACCCACTCGCGGGCGCAGACACCCTAGCATCCCCGGTTGACAGACGCAGCATCAACGCCACCCCAACCCCCCCACCCCGGTGGACTCCACGAGACAGCCCGCCTGCGCAGTTGACATTCGGCCCGGGAAGCTGGCGCCACGCAGAGGCCCCTTTGCACGGCTCTGTTTCTCAGTATGCATCCCGCAAATTCGTCGCCGCCTGCAGCGGCGCGCAGACGTGCGCGGGCGCGCCCACGCCATGCTGGTCGACGACCATCTTGCCCACGCAAAGCTTGCCAAGCAGCGTTGGATTCCCGACGGGGGGCGCCGCGCATGTTTGGCACCGACGAGCGCCGAACCGCCCCGTCACGCGATCCTGGAATAGCTCATTGGTCAGGATCGGGCACTTTGCCCCCGTTTGGTCATGCGCGCTAGATGCACATTTCCACGCCGCTCGGGCGATGGAATGCTTCGATCGCGCCCTGGCCCCAGCTGAAGGGAAAAGGCTCGGGGGACAAACGCCCCTGTCTCCGAGCCGACATCTTGATGCGGCACGCGATCCTGAAGAACTCTAATCCAAGCACTCCTCGGCGTGGCGCCACTTCCCACTTTAACTTTGGCGGACAAGGCGGGCCCGAAACGCGCCGCAGCCCCCGCCCCCCAGCGCTTGGTCGGAACTTCTGCCGGCAGTTCATTGCCCACGTCGGCGGCTCCGAACTAGGCGGAGAAGGGTGCAGCGAGTCCCCCCCCTTGTCGGTGGCAAGGCCCACGTCATTGGCCTTCATTTTACAATCGCCATCCACGAGTCCAATTTTGCATGCCTCAACTGGGGATCTCCCCACAGCGCTCCGCAGCAGGTCGCTCCGACTGCACGGTGGTCAGGGTTCTTTGCCGCGCGCTCATCTGACCAGAGGGCGTGGATGGGGCGGAGTCTCCAATGCCTCTCAGGCCAGGTGGGCGAGCGCCTTGAACCCAGGTCGGCTGCGCACGAAGCATACAGCGCCCTGGGAAGTTCTTCGCATGCCAACCCCCGCCGCGGTCGTCTTAGGACCACCGCGCCTGGGCCAACGGGTTCGCCGCAGAATCAGGCCACCCCCCTGGGGGCCTCCGGTGCCTTGGTTTTCAAGTACTGTTCTTTTGGGTTCACAGTAGCCTTTCCGTCGCAACTCATCGGCCTTTCGCGGAGTGGTCCGACCGCAGAGCCACGCAACACAGGCTCGATGCTCGACCCAGACAACAGCTCCACCTGGCAACGGCCACGAGACAACAACCCATACGCCAAGTCGCACGCGTCAGAAATGCCCGCGGCAAGCATCTCGGCTGTCTTCCGAACATCTTGGCGGAAGTGCCACTTAGCCATCGGTCCGTTCAGGGAATGTTCATATAGAGGATCAGCGCCGACGACGATTCCTCGGGATGGCAATCCCAGCGACAACCATAAACAGATTCCCCCCTTCATTGCCGTCCGCTTGCTCGCGGCGGCAAGATCGCACATTTCTGGGGCGTTCGGGCACTTGGCGTCGCCCCCCACCATGAACGTATAGAATCTGTTCTGTGGCATTTCATTGTGGCCCTGTCTATTGCGCTTCTTGACGGGGAAATCCTGGTCTGGACCGTCTCACCCATCTTGGGCGCGCCCTGGCCGTCGCGCCCCATCACCCTGTCGTCGTCGCCCCTTGCCTCACTCAGGCGCGTCAGCAGCCCAATGCGACGGCAGCCCTTCGCCGGGCCATAGTAAACCGCTTCTCACCGCACATCGTGCCAAAGTCGACGTTGCGCGCCCCCTCGCTCACCTGGGCGGAACTTGCACCGCGCGCAAAAAAAATGCCAGCAGCAACACAAAAATGGCTAGCTGGCTGTCAATGACATTGCGATTCCGCCGAGAAGTTTTCAAAGCCCTGGCAGAGACTCCAGCGATTGCTGCCCCCCTCGCGCAAACTCCACCCCGAGGAAACCTTCGTCACAGCAACGATACACGCAAAGCCCCGTAGGCCCCCGCCGCCCACGCCGGTCTGCGGCGGCTTCCCAGGCGCGCTGTGACCCCTTCCC